GGGGCGGGGGTTGCCCCCCAACCCCCCCCCCCACACACACACAATATGAATTGATCATCGAGCTTCTTTAATTTTAAATAGTTTAAAATAATTAGTTTTATAAAATTTAAAATATTTTAAAAGTAATTTTGCCTTTTTTATTTTATAATTTTTATGTTTTTATATAATTATGTATGTATTTATTACCTTTTATAAATATTCGAAAATTGTTTTAAAAATTGTTTTTAATTAAATATTTTGTTTATTATGTTAGTTAGTCAATAATTATATTTTGAGTTAATTAGTATATAATCAAGTTAATTATTTTATTTCGTTAAGATTAAGAAGGTTGTTAGTTAACTATATTAATTCGTTTTATTTAAGTTTTAGGTGAATTCAATTTGATTAAATTGTTAACTCAAATCGGCTATAAGTGAAGGTTATTCGGCCAAGTCTTAAATTCAATTCTAGCCATTTTGACTCAACTCTTTTTCAGCCCATGTCCAGCTCGACATTAGAGCAACAACCCAGAGACCCACTTCTCACAAAATACAACCGACCCTGCCCAACTTAACCCACCGATACTTCTCACAAAATACTTCTTGAGTTCGAGTTTTTTTAAATACAAAATTATCTTTTTTAGGAAGCACTTTACCCCAACCTTCTCGACGCAAATTCAAATTTAATTGAATTTTAATGTAAATATCGAACATCAGGTGGAAAATAATAATAAAAAAACAACCCAACACCTGCTCTCCTTTCCCATTCCAGTACAGCGAACCCAAACCGAAACTCTCCGTACGCAAATCGTACAAGACCGTTTCAGAACATTCTCGAAGGCTCCAGGTGTTGTCATCTGCCGTCCTTCCATCTCCAAATCAACGTTCTCCTTTCAAATCAGTTGGAGCTTTATCCAAAAGGAAGTTTGAATTTCAAATTCCATTCAATTCTCACCCGTTTCCCCCCATTTCGACCCTAGTCTCGACTTCACTGTTAAGGGGAGGATTTTTGACCATTGAAAAGATACAGAAAAAGTGATTTTCTCTTGAGAAATCAAAAGCTCTCCGAATCTCTGAATTTCAAATTTAAATCATTGTTCGTATTGTTTTCGTTTCCGGCGAAGTTAAGCTCGGAATCGTGGTGGAAGTATTGCTCTTCTCGTCCGTCCCAGATTTGCTGCGCTACAAGAGTTCCTTATCTTTGTCTGATTATCAATTTCTATTTGGATATTAATCTATTCTAGTTATATGTATGAGGTATGTCCATGTCGAAATGGTCATTCTATTTGATTATCACTGTTGTATTTTGAATGAGTTTACGTGATTAATTTGTGTGTTCCTCAAATTATATTCAAGTTCATATTGTTTTCTCTGTCTAAATTTAATCCTATTTTGGCTACTAAATAGCCTACAAGTTTAGTCTTGTTGAGTTCCTTTACTGTCTCACATGTTCGGTTCCAAATAAGGCATATTTAGCCGAAGTTCCATAAGCATTTTGTTTCCAATCTGATTGCTCTGCTTTAGTACTTTATATCCTGTTGCTGTAAATTAGTATATGACTGTTTGGTTAGTTGGTTTTTGAGTCTAAACTGATGTATACCTCTCCTTGCTTGGTGTACATGTGAATTTGTTAGTTTAATGATTCTTAAGCTATAGTTCTGTTTGTTCTTAATTGGGATAAGGCACAAGTACCCCTAGATTATGACCGAAATTTCGGAGACACATTTTAACTAAACTAAGGTCCTATTATCCCTGTACTTATTTTTGTTGTAATTTTGTACACCTTTTGTCTTACGTGGTACACTCCGTGATTCCACCCAATTGAGGCGTGTGGGAGATATTTGGATGTCACCTAAGCCAAAAAGGTGCACAAAATTACAAAAAAATGGGTTCAGGGGGTCATAGGACCTTAGTTTAGTTTAGTTAAAGTGTGTCTTTGGAATTTCGGTCATAGTCTAGGGGGTACTTCTACCTTTTCCCTTCTTAATTATCATACCTTTTCTAAATTTTCAATTGATTTGTTTAGTTACAAGGATCGTTGGTTTGTTTAGTGTTCAGGTCCCCATATTTATAACTTGAGTTGTCTAGTTAAATGTCATTATGATTGTGCTTACTGATTAGATAAGACTAAGTGAGTTTGCTGTGATGCTTAGTTGGCCTTATTCAGTGGCGGACTCAGAATTTTCGTTCAGGGGGTTCGAAAAATAAAAGTATAAACGTGTAAATAAGCCTTTGAAAATTGGAACCGTGATTTTTTTTGGATTTGAAACCACACTTTAGCAAAAAAATTTAATTAAAAAAAAAACTTAAAAAAAAAGAAAAACAGAACTGAAAATTAAAAAAAAAACTAAAAAAACTGAAAAAGAAAACGCTTTCACTGGGATTTGAACCAGTGACACACAACTTAATTTCCAAGGGAAATGCCATTATGCCATCAGTTTCTCTTTGTTATTGAGGGGGTTCAAAATATATATATTTACAGAAATACAGAAAATTTACTTTAATATACAGTGTAATTTTTTGCCGAGGGGTTCGAGTGAACCCCCTGGAACCAACGTGGGTCCGCCCCTGGCCTTATTGCCTTCCAAAATATTGAAATTGTCTTGGTAGTCATTTTGATGTGAAGCTCTTAACCATCCTCTAGCATGATTATCACATTGTAGTTTATTGTTGGTTGATTTCATTTTGATCATTCTTGGATTTATCTACTTATTATGAATGATTTCTTTTAATATTTACAGATAAGTTTCTTTCTTAAAAATGATCAAATTAGCTCTATGAATTGTCTTTAGTTTGAATACACCTACATATCATTAGTCTAAATGCATTATCTTTCTGTTGAAAATAATGACTCTCGCTTCATCTGAGGCATGTGATTCCTATTTTAAGCTTGTATATTAATATTGCTCTGTTGGGTTCCATTTTAGTAGTTAATTAATTAATTCATACCTCCCTCTCTGTGTCGTTACTGCATATGTTCATGGTTTGCCTACTCCCCTTTGTTGGCGAGTTTGTTTGCTGGTAATATCAAATATTCATATTAATTCTTTCCCCTTTCTTATTCCACATTTGATATTTACGGAGTCTACTTGGACTCATCTCCTCGTATTATCGCATCGCAGGTTGGGTTGAAACCCAACACTCCTTTATCGAGTCAGCCTGCGGTTGGTTCATCTATTAACAAAAAAAATGATTAAGAAAAATAGAGCTATTTCGGAAAAAGTTGGTGCCTGGACCGAAGAGGATGAAATCACAAAGTTGAAAACTAAAAAAGGGGAAATTAGGTTAGATTATGGGTGTCTTTGGTATGAAGGAAAATATTTTCCGGAAAATGTTTTCCAATTTTCTCATGTTTGGTTGGGTTAAATATTTTGGAAAATGTTTTCCAAATCAACTCATTTTTCTCAAATTTAAGGAAAATGACTTCCCTTTAAAACTTAAGGAAAACATTTTCCAAAACTCTATTTCAACTTCAAATTACAATTATTTTTTTGTTGAAAAAATCAATTTATTTTGTCCCTACCCTCAAACCACCCCCCTCCC